ACCTCGGTGGGGACAGGGCCATCCCCTTGGGGACATCCCGGTGGGGACATCCATGGGGTTACCCCAGTGGGGACATCCCGGTGGGGACAGGGCCATCCCCTTGGGGACATCCCGGTGGGGACAGAGCCGCCCCCTTGGGGACATCCCGGTGGGGACATCCATGTGGTTACCCCAGTGGGGACATCCCGGTGGGGACAGGGCCATCCCCTTGGGGACATCCATGTGGTTACCCCAGTGGGGACATCCCGGTGGGGACAGGGCCAGCCCTTGGGGACATCCATGGGGTCACCCCATTGGGGACATCCCATTGGTGCCATCACCTTGGGGACATCTTGGGGACATCCCCACTGAGGTCACCCCATTGGGGACATCCCCAGGGCCACCCCACTGGGGACATCACCTTGGGGACACCCTCAGGGTCACCGCCATCAGGGCCACCTCCTTGGGGACATCCTCCATTAGGGTCACCCCTTTGGGGACATCCCCCATTGGGGTCACTCCATTAGGGTCACCGCACTGGGGACACCCCCAAGGCCACCCCATTGGGGACATCCCGTTGGCGCCATCACCTTGGGGACATCTTCCACTGAGGTCACCTCATTGGGGACATCCCAGTGGTGACATCCCCCATTGGGGTCACCTCATTGGGGACATCCCCCATTAGGGTCACCTCATTGGGGACATCCCCTTGGGGACATCTTCCACTGAGGTCACCTCCTTGGGGACACTCCATTGGGGACATCCCAGTGGTGACATCCCCCATTGGGGTCACCTCCATGGGGACATCCCCAGGGCCACCTCAATGGGGACACTCACTCCATTGGGGACATCCCCCATTGGGGTCACCTCCATGGGGACATCGCCTTGGGGACATCCCAGTGGGGACAGGGCCATCCCCTTGGGGACATCCCAGTGGGGACATCCCGGTGGGGACAGGTCCAGCCCTTGGGGACATCCATGGGGTCACCCGAGGTCACCTCCTTGGGAACATCCCATAGGGGACAATCCCCCATTAGGGCCACCCCAATGGTGACATCCCATTTGGGACATCACCTTGGGGACATCCCCACTGAGGTCACCCCATTGGGGTCACCCCCAGGGCCACCCCCTTGGGGACATCCCATTGGGGACATCCCCCATTAGGGTCATTAGGGTCACCCCTTTGGGGACATCCCATTGGGGACATCCCCCATTAGGGCCACCCCCTTGGGGACATCCCATTGGGGACATCCCCCATTAGGGTCACCTCATTTGGGGACATCCCCCATTAGGGTCACCCCTTTGGGGACATCGCCTTGGGGACACCCTCAGGGCCACCCCTTGGGGACGTCCCCCATTAGGGTGACCCCACTGGGGACATCCTCAGGGCCACCCGTTGAGGACATTCCATTGGGGACATCGCCTTGGGGACACCCTCAGGGTCACCACGATCAGGGCCACCCCTTGGGGACATCCCAGTGGTGACATCCCCCATTAGGGTCACCCC